AGCAGCTACAAGCTGAAACTGTCCCACCTTTCCTCATAAAACAACTTGCTCAATCCATGTATTAGTCTGGTAAACCTTCTATGAACTGTCTCCAGTGTATTTATACCCTTTCTTAAATAAGGTGACCAGTACTGTGTATAGTCCTCCAGATGTGGTCTCACCAATGCCTTTTACAACTAAGGCATAACCTTGCTGCTTTTGTTTGCAATTCCTCTTGCAACAAATGATAGCATTCTTCAAAGTGCCTAATTCTCTGAAAACTAACCATCTGTAACTCATAGACAAGGATACTCAGAGGCCTCTGTCAGAGTCCAGCAATCTCTCAGAGACGGATCTATAGTGAAAATAGACAGCTACAAAATACAGGTGCTTCTTGAGTGTCCTTAATGGTTTCATGGTGAAATGTGCAGGAGTAATTCTGAAAGTATGGACAACCACAAATATAAACCTGAGTGTTTTCACCTGATCTGTGCAACCTAACCTCGTAATTTAACCCTTTCCACTGCAGTCATGTTTCCTGTCAATATCACCCCCAGGGTGGTAAAGCAGTCATAACCATGCACAGCCTCAGCTGTATCCCAGCCATCACACTCTGGCACAGCTGATTTGACAGAGTGTTTTGTCTGCGGTTTTAGTAAACTTCACCACCGTATTGCTGAAGCATCAAAGTGGCAGGCAGAAAACAAAGTTGCTGGAAAAGCTCAGCGGGTCCGGCTGTATCTGTGAAGGGAAAAAACAGAGTTAACGTTTCGGGTCCGGTGACCCTTCCTCAGTACTGACAGACACCGGACCCGAAACGTTAACTCTGTTTTTTCCCTCCACAGATGCTGCCAGACCTGCTGGGCTTTTCCAGCAACTTTGTTTTTGTTCCTGATTTACAGCATCCACAGTTCTTTTGGCTTTTAAAATGAGAGGCAGCCCTGAAATCGATACGAAAACCAACACGCTCAGAGAGAAACCCCAAAGTTACAAACCGTGCACCAAGGGGTGGGACCAGCAGCTGTGGGGTAGGAGGCTAATGTAATGGACGGACTGAGGGGTGGGGGGAGGAGGATAGCAGCAGGTGGGGGCAGCCAGCGACAAAGGAACTCTGTCTCTGCTCATTGTCACTATTACACAAATGCAATTGGCCACCATTGCCAGTTATCTCGGTGTTGGCAGCATATACTGGTTAGTTGCAGGATGATTCCGGTGCCTCAGTATTGTACCCCCTTCCCAGTGATATCCGAGTCTGAGACCCACGCAGCTACTCAGGCCCTGGGTTCACCTTGAGATGCGACCTCTATCGGGGAGTCGTTCTGTTTTGTGAATGGCCGGTGGATCCCATTCATAAACAGTTTTTTATGATGAGCGTTGTTGGCTTCTGATTGGGTTTCTGCTGCACACCCCAAATTAGATTTTCATCTTCCTACTCATGTTACTGTAATAACAACAAAAATTAAATCATACAAACGAGCCTTGTTTGCAGATGCTTGCCCATAGTTGCCAATTACATCAGATACACGGGGAGTCCGCGGAACAAAGGCTTCATATAATCGTACAGGAGATCTTTCTGTTGATGAGACTAATAATGATGGTTGGAATATACTTTTAGAGATCAAGTAACACAAGTTGCTGCCTATTGAATCATTTAATGAAGAACTCAACAAAGCCATATTGAGTAAGATAGGTAGACTACGAAAGCCCAGAATTAGCCCATTGCAGAAGTATTAATCACATTCCCCATAGGACACTCACCACTCCCTCTTAGTTTGTAACGTTCCTGCTTTTCAATGAACTATCTGAATTACTGAGGAAAGAATTCGTGGCCTTTGCTCCCCTGACAGTTTGACAGAGATTTACAGAGTCATTTGAATCAGTGATGTGACAGGAATTTTGATCTAACTTGGCCAAGTGCCAGGGATTACAGAGGCCTTAACATAAGACAAATTTGCTCGCACAGGACACAACTGCATCTCTTTCTCTCTGAGGGAACTTGCAGTTGACGACAGAAAGCGAGCAGTGGAGGAGGAAGAGAAAAGGAGGATCTCTCAACTTCCTCCGTCAAATATTCCAGGGGCAGGTGGAAGTTCTCACTGGGAATTTGCCCCTTCGTGTGGAGTGGGACAGGCCAACTTCTGGGGTGTGTGAATAGCCCCGTGGCTGATGTAGTCACCTCAGCTGTGAATGTGCACACCAGGAAATCACAGGGAAACATCCACCAGGGCCTTGTCCCCTACTGCATGAGGTCATCGTTATGCCAGTGAATGGGGTTTTGTTGTTTCTGGGACACCTTGAAGGGATGAGCCAGCTGTAGTGAATTAGCTCTCTGAATTTTAGAGTGAATTCCCAGTTTCAGTTTACTTCCCGATGTTATGGTGACCTGAAGATGGTGTGTTGGGTTAGCACACCATCCTGATGAGTCTGTGTTTAATACCAGCACATATTAATGAGATATCGGTTCAGATGTCAAAATTAGAAGCAAACTTCTATTTCCATAGCACGTTTCACATCCTCATGATGTCCCAAAGCTGTTCATGGCCAATGAAGTCTGTCTGATGCATAGCCACTGTTTTGATACAAGTAATGAAGCAGCCAGTTTGTGCGCAGTGAGATCCCACAAAGATACAGTGATGCCAACCAGACAATCTGTATTCTTAGAGATAGCAAGAACTGCCGATGCTGGAGTCAGAGATAACACAGTGTGGAACTGGAGGAACACAGCAGGCCAGGCAGCATCAGAGGAGCAGGAAAGCTGACGCATGGGGTCGGGACCCTTCTTCTTCAGAAAGAAATTTCTGAAGAAGGTTCCCAACCTGAAACTTTCCTCTTCCTCTGATGCTGCCTGGCCTGCTGTGTTCCTCCAGCTCCACACTTCGTTAAATGTGTTTTCTTAGCTGTTTGTTGAAAATTACAAAATTGTCCTGGCACTCCCTGGAGAACATTTCCTCCTCTTCTTTGAAATACTGTTTACTGTACCCCTTAGGACCACCTGACGGATTAGATGAGATTTTAATTTAACATCTCGTCTGAAACATTGCATCTTTCAACTGTGCAGCAGGCTCTCAGTACTGGCACTTGGAGAGCCAAGTCTTTCTGCACTGTGTATTCCAGCCTCTGTAGTGGGACTTGAACCTTGTGACTCAGGCCTGAGTTACACAGTGAGCTATATCTAGCACACTCACACTGGTCTACTAAGATTTTCTATTGATTTGTTGAGCTTCTTTAGGACACTTGTTAGACCTCAGCTGGAGTATTGTGTACAGTTGTGGGTGCTGCATTATAGGAAGGGTATGAACACACTGAAGAGAGTGCAGAAGCAATTTACAATAATGGCTCCGGGAATGAGGAACATCTCTGATGAGGGCAGATTGAAGATGTTGGGACTGTTCGCCTGGAGAGACAAGGCTGAGGGGAAATTTGACAGACGCTTTCAAAATCATGAACGGGCTGGATAGAGTAGGTGGGGAGAAGCTGAGCAAAAACAAGAAGGGCATAGATTTAAAGTGAGGTGCCAAAGAAGCAAGGATGATGTGAGAATAAACTTTTTCACTCGGCAAGCAGTTATGATTAGTTAATAGTAGTTAGTAATTAGTAGTAGTTAGTTAGGAGTGGTTAGTAATTAGTTAGTAGTAGTTAGTAATTAGTACTTAGTTAGGAGTAATTAGTAATTAGTTAGGAGTAGTTAGTAATTAGTTAAGAGTAATTAATAGTTATGGAATACACTGCCTGGAAATGTGTTGAAGGGAGATTCGACTGAAGCAATCAAGAGAGAATTGGATGATTATTTGGATGAGAATAGTGTGCAGAGATATGGGATAAGTCTGGAGAGATCCACTAGGGAACAACAGGAGCAGGAGGAATGGGCTGAATGGCCTCTCTCTGTGACATAACAATTATGTGATTCTTTATCCAAACATATCATAGAAAAAGATCTAGAAGCTGGAAATACAATAAGGAATAGTTAGCATGGATTTGAAGAAAGAAGGTCACTCTTCACCAACCTGTTGAATTGTTTAAAGAAAATGGCTACAGAAGGGAAATGCAACAGATACAATATATTTGGATTTCCAAAAAGCCTTTATCAGGGTAACACATGGGAGACTTGTGCACAGTGTGAGAAAATGTCAAGATAGGGACAGGGGTCTACGATAAAATAAAGAGGAAGTGTAGATTTTGAGTTCAATGAAGTTACTCAGACTGGAAAGGAAGGGAAGTGGTATTCAGGGGTTGGAGCTGACACTATTGATGTTCACCCTATACAGTGACAATTTGACTCAAGAATTTCAAGGAAATGTCAAAATTTGCAGGTGACATAAATGTGGCATAAAGTTAACACAGAGGAAGTGCGTAACAAAATACAACAAGATGTTAATGAACTTGCAGAATGAGCTGGTAAATCGGAAACAAAATTCAATACGGATAAGTGTGTGAGAAATGGGAGCCATATACAGCTTGGATCAGGGTATAGATTGAATACATCAGGACTGTTCCCCTCAGCGGCAAGGCAGCTGAGAGGAGATTTGTTCGAGGTTTACATAATCATGAACGAGCTGGATAGACTCACTTATTTCCCACTTGTAAAGGAAAATAAATGAGAGAATATAGATTTAAGTGAAGTGCAAACAAAGCAAGGGCAATGTGAGAATAAATTTTTTCATGCAGTAGTTAGTTAGGGTCTGGAATGCACTGCCTGGAAATGTGGTAGAGGCAGGTACAATTAAGGCATTCCAGAGGAAATTGGATGGTTATTTGGATAGAAATAGTGTGCAGGGACATGGGGAAAAGACAGGAGATCGGCACTAGATAATGGTACAGGTGCAGACTTATGGGCTGAATAGTCTCCTTCTGTGCTGTAACAATTCTGTGACCCTGTCATTTGTATAGAGCAATGGTTAGACTGCACATGGAGCACTCCACCTTGTGAAAAACTCACAGCATGACTGGAAAAACAAATGTTGCACTTCTCAGTTATGACACAGAGTTCCAGAACAGTGAGTGTGTTTCTCTTCTCTCCCCAGAACATGAGCCTCGATTGGTCGTTGCTGTCGAAGACAGATTGCCTGAAGTATGGTGGGACGGTGGTTGGTACAAGTTGTGGCTTCGTCCCCGATGTCACCTTGATGTCATTCATCCTCTTCCTCGGCACTTACTCCTGCTCAATGACACTGAAGAACTTCAAAACCAGCCCGTATTTCCCCACCACGGTAAGTCAGAACCATCCACTCCTGATGTCTTTCGCTCAGTAAACTGCTTAACCTGCGCTGCAATGGGAGCAGAAAATGAACAGACCAGTGGTCACCATTTGGATGTTGACATGATGGTGAAGACATGATGGTGCTCTCATCTGGTAGGCAACTGTAAGTTGCTGCTAACCTAAGTACAATCCGCAGCATTGGAGAAGCTCAGCTGGTCTGGTTAATTCTGTGGAGACAGAGTTAAACATTTCTGGCCATGACCTATTGTCAGAACTAGGAGCAACGAGAAACGTAATGGGTTTTGAGCAAAGGGGTGGATGGGACTAGGACAAAAGGAAAGTCTATGATAGGGTGGAAGGCAGGAGATTTGGCAGATGAGTTATTCTCCAAGGACTAAAGGGAATGATGTTGGGTAAGAATGGGTGTGGCAAAACATGCAAAGAAATGAAAGTGGAACAAGAGGACAACATTTACACCAGTCCAGTCCCTGATCAAGTGGTTTGCCTGATGATGAGCTGTCCCTCTAACCCATGCTAAGTGCAGCAGACCATGGAGAGCATGGATCCAAACCTTACTACTTTTAGATGCATTGGTCTGGAAGGAATTACAGAGACAAAGAGGGACAAGGCCATGAAAGAATTTGAAAACAGGGCTGAGAACTTTAAAATGAAGACATTACTTGACCAGGAGCCAGCAAGCACAAATCAGATAAGAGTATGGCATTGGGTGTGAGTTAACATAGGCAGCAGAGATTTGAATCTAGACTGGGATATTCCAGTTTCCCAATGGAATGCCTGGGAGTCAGGCACCGGGAATGAGAAAGGGGGAATGTTTATATCCAGAACTCCAGGTCCTGAATGCCCGTATGGGTGCAGAATTATTCCCACCTTCAGCCTCCGGTCCAAAGGTATGCAGGTTAGGGTGAATTGGCCATGCTAAATTGCCCATTGTATCCAGGGATGTACAGGTTAGGTGGAGTAGCCGTGGAAAATGCAGGGTTGCAGGATAGGGAATGGGGATGGGTCTGGGTGGGATACTCTTCAGAGGGTCAGTGTGAACTCGATGGACCGAATGGCCTGTTTCCACACTGTAAGATTCTATGATCCCCCACCATCACCATTGACGATGGTCTGGGTGCTCCTTCTCCTCTTTATTGGGCATGTTTTGTCTCAGCCACACACAATATTGTGAGAACACACCTGGAGTATTATGTGCAGTTTGGTCTCCTTATTTAAGGAAAGGTGTTCATGGATTAGAGGCAGTTCAGATAGGGTTTAACAGACTGGGAATGCCTAAAATGGGTGGATTCTCATATGAGGAAAGATTGACAGGCCTGGCTTGTATCTGCTGGAAGAGGCAGGCTGACTTGATTAAAACGTTTCGGATTCTACAGAGTTCATGTGAAGAGAATGTTTCTTCATGTGGGTGAATGAGGAATTAGAGGTCATTGTTTAAGAATCAGGGACCACCCCTTTCAGAACAGAGGCGAAGGGATGTGTCTTTCTCTCAGGGCTCACAAATCTTTGGAACTCTCCTCCTGAAAACGTGGTTGAAAGCAGAATTCTTGAGGATTACATAAGAACATAAGAACTAGGAGCAGGAGTAGGCCATCTGGCCCCTCATGCCTGCCCCGCCATTTAATAAGATCATGGCTGATCTTTGAGACTCAGCTCCACTTACCCGCCCACTTACCATAACCCTTAATTCCTTTACTGTTCAAAAATTTATCTAGCCTTGCCTTAAAAACATTCAGCGAGGTAGCTTCAACCGCTTCACTGGGCGGGGAATTCCACAGATTCTTAAGCTCGCAGTAGGTAGATTCCTGTATAGCAAGGCTCGAGGGGCTGAATGTCGAAGGTCCCTATCAGTTACCTACCCCACACCCCCAGCTGTTTCTCTCAGGTTACAGGAACTCTGGTAGATCCCTCAGTTTCAGGAGCCTGTCGTACTGCTGTGACACCAGATTAGGGGCTGCGCCCAGTCAAAAGCTCCATCAGCGACTAAACCCCCACCCCAACCCTAACCCACACCCACCCCCTCCCCATGGCCAGGTCTGGGACCTGACTCGAGTTCCCCATCGCTGGAGTAAAATCCAAAAACACCAAAGAATAGCAGATGCTGGAAATCAGAAACAAAGACAGGAATTGTTGGGAAAACTCAGCAGGGCTGGCAGCATCCATAGGGAGAGAAACAGAGTTAACATTTCGGGTCGAGTGAGCCTTCCTCAGAACATGAAGTAAAACTGAGAGTTCGGGGTGTGAACACTCATCATCAGCTGCAATATTCTGTGAGACTGAAACAAAACAAAGCGAGTGTCCTGGTGAATTTTGGGTGTTAATTTGGGCAGTCCTGGCTGACAGAAGGGCTGGGGTGAGTTACATTAACTCCTGGTATTGTTGCAGCAGAGGCAGTCAATGTGAAGATAGCGCTTTGAAATTTGAGCACACGGCTCTTTAACTGGCTGGACACAGAAACCCATGAGGCTCCTACCCTCCGTTGCCAGGGAAGCCTCGCAGCAGCTTTGTGAAGCATCCTTTTCTGAGTTTGCCAAAGCTGCCTGACCACCAGCGACAGCCTGGAGCACTCCATCATTGTTCACAGGCTTTCAGCTTCAATCTAACAACTTGGGAGCTAATTTTAATCAAACTGCTGAGCCAATTGGTAGAGGAAGGGCAGACGTGCGAGGGTTGCAATGCAGTCCCGAGGTCAGGAAATCTATGAGAAACCCACGGCCAAAAATTGCAGTGCTTCTTGTAGTTTCCTGATTCTCTCCCCCTTCCCCCTGCCTGGTTTTAACTTTTAGGGCAGCACGGTGGCTCAGTGGTTAGCAGTGCTTCCTCATAGTGCCAGGGACCCGGGTTCGATTCCAGCCTCAGGTAACTGTGTGGAGTTTGCACATTCTCCCCGTGTCTGCGTGGGTTTCCTCCGGGTGCTCTGGCTTCCTCCCACAGTCCAAAGATGTATAGGCTAGGGTGGATTGGCCATAGGAAATTACCCACAGTATTCAGGGATGTGCAGATTAGGTGGGTTATAGAAGGATGGGTCTGGGTGGGATGCTCTTCAGAGGGGCAGTGTGGACTTGTTGGGCCAAATGGCCTGTTTCTACCCTGTAGGGATTCTATTCTATGCACTTTAAGAAATGGGGGCAGCACAGACATGACCCCTGAGAGGAATGCTCCAGGGTTTCTCTCAATAAAATGCCCCAAGCAACCTACTGCAAATGCATAAACTGCATTTTCATTGCATCTTTAATTTAGTCTTTTAATAAAAAACATTATTCTGTAGGATGGGACCATGGCTGACAAGGTAAAAGCCCCTGAATCACATGGTCTCAATGAGCCATTTCCAAGAGTAATTTAGAGTTAACCCCATTGCTGTGGGTCTGGAGTCACATGTAGGCCAGAACGGGGTAAGGATGACATTTCCCTCCCTAAAGAGCATTAATGCGTCAAGTGGCGTTTTACAAAAATCAATGACAGTTTTATAATCATTGCAAATGAGACAGGCTTTCATTTCTGGATTCTTCTTAATTAAATTTAAATTTCACCAGCTACTGTTTGAACCAGTTTTCCCAGGGCATTAGCCTGGATTTCATGCTCAATCACTTTACCCCATGCCACCCTCCCCACACCCCCAGATAAAATGTTCTTCAAGCATTTCACTAGAATACTACCACACTGAAACCTGGTTCTAATTTAACGCTACATGAGGGGACATTAAGGCAGATGACCAAAACCTTGGTCAAAGAGATAACCTTAAAGGAGGGAACGGGTTAGTGTGGCAGAGAGTTTTAGGGAGAGGAATCCAGAGCCTAGGGCCCAGGCAGTAGAATGGAATGAGTTTATGACTCCTAACAGGGAACAAATTTTGACTCTCCAGTTAAATATTGAGAAGACCAAAGCTATTGACTTCAGTCTCCAACAGATCAACCAACTCTCCCGGCAACTGCCTGATTTTAAATGAGATTCTTCACAGCCGCAATGTCATATTCAAATCTGAGATGAGCTCCTGACCAAATATCCACACTGTCTCTAGCACAACCAATTTCCAAATCTGTGTGACATCCTGCTGCATTCCCCCGTCGGCTGAGCTACTTCAGAAACTCTCATTTACGCCTTCATTAGCCTGAGACTGACTTACTCCAATATGCGCACTGTTCTTATTTGTTCATGGGGTATGGTCATGGCCAAGTATTTATTGCCCATCTCTAAATGCTCCTTGATGTGGCGGTGAGTTGCCTTCTTGAACTGCTGCAATTCTTGGGGTGTTTGGAACTGTCGGGGAGGGAGATCCAGGATTTGACACAATGACACTGAAGGAACAGTGATTATATTTCCAAGTCAGGATCGCGACTAACTTGGAGGAGAACTTGCAGGGGGCGATGTTCCCATGTGTTTGCTGCCCTTGTCCTTCTAGAAGGATGTGGTCATGGGTTTGGAAGGTGCTGTCTGAGGATCTTTGGTGAATTTCTGCAGTGGATCTTGTAGATAGTACACACTGCTGCTACTGAGCGTCGGTGGTGGAGGGAGTGGATGCTTGTGGATGTGGTGCCAATCAAGCGGCTGCTTTGTCCTGGATGGTATCAAGTTTCTTGAGTGTTGTTGGGGCTGCGCTCATCCAGGCAAGTGGGGAGTATTCCATCACACTCCTGCCTTGTGCCTTGTAGATGGTGGGACAGGTTTTGGGAAGTTAGGTGAGTTACTCACTGCAGGATTATAAACCTCAAGCCTGCTCTTGTAGCCGCTGTGTTTATGTGGTGAGTCCAGTTCAGTTTATGATCAACAGTAACCCCCAAGGATGTTGACGGTATGAGATTCAGTGATGGTAACATCATTGAACATCAAGGGGTGATATTCAGATTCTGTCTTATTGGAGGTGGTCATTGCCTGGCATTTATGTGGCACACATATTACTTGCCAATTGGCAGCCCGTTGTCTGGATATTGCCTCCTAAATTTTGCCCTTTGTAAATTTGACACTCCACTGCCTTTGGCATAACTCACATACAGCCATGTTTACCCATTACTCCGCTGTGGTCAC